CCTCTGCAGAGCCTCAGTCGATTTCCACAGCTTATCACTTGTCAGTTGGGAAATTTGGGCCAGGTTTTGCAGCTACAGCTTTAGGACATGGTATGTACCTGAAGGGTTTGAGCCTGAGAAGGTCCATTCCCTGCACTGTGCCATCTAGCGACGCTGAGAAAAGCAAATTACCAGAAGGAGAAAAGCATATATCTGTAACAGCTGCAGCGTGAGCAGCAAATGTGCAGAGGCAGAAACCCCTCTCGCCGTCCCAAACCTTAACCCTGCCGTCACTACTGCCAGTAGCCAACAGTCCCGGGCTGGAGCCCAGGCCCAAAGAAGTCCCTGCAGAGCCCCCCGAAGCTCCCACTGACGCCCCTGAGGAAAGCCCCTGGCCCGTGCGGGACCCTATTCTGTGGCTGCCAGCTGCTGCAGCATCAGCTGCAGGAGAAAACGCCAAGCATAGCATGCCTTGTTGATGGCTCTGCTGCTTCAAAACGAATGTTTCGCTCCTCCACTCCCAGACAAGTAAAGTGCTGCTTTCTGCAGCAGCTGCTGCTACCCACTCCCCGTCGTAAGACAGGCACACGCTGTCTAACGAGCTGACCCCAAATGACAGCTTAACAACAGCTCCCAAGTCAGGCAAAGTATACAGCTGAAAGACACCTCCCGTAAACCCAATCAGAAGGTACTGGGGTGGGGCGTGGGCCCCTCGCAGGCCCTCCTGGGAGTTCACGGGGCGGCCCGAGGGGGGCCCCGTGTACCTGTAGTACGGGGATAGGTTTGTGGCAGCGCGGGAAACCTTCTGCCCTGGCTGTTGATTGCAGTAGGCCTTTTGTTCCATCTTCCACAAGCCCTTGGTGTAATCAATGAGGTGGTAGAATTCCACGGAGTCAGCAACTGTGGGCGTGCTCGCTTCTCCGCTTGCTTCTTTTTCTTTCACTTTTGCTTTTGCTTTCGACTGTGAGGCCTCCTGCTTCTCTCGCTCGCGGCGTTGATTGAAGTAATCTGGGTTGATTGGACGAGCTGCGTTTTTTAACTTGAAATCCTTTTCATATTCTGCATTTGCTTCAGTTTCTTCTTGAGCCTCTTCCAATGAACGCCATACCCAGGTAATGATGCAGCCCTCTCTGTTGACAGAATAAATACGCGTAAGACATGAGGAGAAACAAACGAACTTCAATTCGTGACGGTGAGATAGGAATGCAGAAGGAATGAAAGCAGCATCTCCCGCTGCTGCTGCTGCCTCTTCTGTCCCTGCTGCTGCAGCGGTTGCTGCTGCTGCAGCTGCAGCTGCAGATGTTTGTCCGCCCCATTTACCGCGAGCTCGCCATAGCCTAACTGTGCAGTCTTGGGACCCCGAAACAAGGTGAAGAGAATCAGGGCTCCAGGAGAGACAAGTAATGAGTTGTTGGTGTAAAGTGAACGATGTCAGTAGGTGCAGCTGGTAGTTCGTGTCGGCACTGGGAGAGTGCCAGAGCTGTACGTACAGCCCAAAGACAAGAAAGAAAAGAGAGTCAGGAAATAGGCGAGAGGCCAGCAGGCAGAAAAATAAAATGAGACAAACTAAACACATGGGGCGGACCAAAAGCGGCGGAAAGCAGAGAGATGAAGAAGTATAAAAACATAGATTTCCAGAGAGAAGGGTATTGTACAAAGAAAAGAAAATGGCTTGGGAAGAAAGAGATGTGAGGAGAGAAACTGACAGAAGGGGACAGGACTGGGACAGCAAAATGGCAGGATATGGAAGAAGAAAACGGATTATACAGGACTGAGACAGTAAAATGCCAGGATAAGGACGAAGACGAAAGCGGATACTAAAGAAATACTGAGATAAAAATCAGATGTAGCACTGGAGCGGCAGAAACAGGCCTAAAGGGAATGAAGAGACAGAAAGATACAGACAAAGAGACTCGCTAAAGGATAAACATAAATGAAGCACCGAAACAGGGACAAAAATGGCATCAGCTCGATCAGCTCTGCATTTACCTGGATGCTTCTTCCGCAGGCAACGGCGAAGAGAGCATCGTCAGGCGAGAAGGCAGCAGCAGTAACCAAGTGCTGCTGTTTTTGCTGCTGCCACCTAATTTTACTAGTTGTGTTGCTTTTAAATCGGATACGATTAAGAACATTCCCCTTGGCCAGATTTATTACCAACCCTTGCCCATGCACGTCAATACTGATGGCTAGCTGGCTGTCCGACCGAATGCAGAAGTGCATGATGTCTACTAAACCCTCAAACGGGTAGGTGTGGACCGCGCTGCTGCTGCCGCTGCTGCTGCTAGTTTCGCCGTCATTTTCGGCGGGAACAGATAAATCGAAAGCCCTTTTGCTGCCGACGCTGCTGCTGCTGGTGGCAGGGTTAGGAGTCGCATCTAGCGTATAACGGCAAACGCGGTTGCTGCTGGGGACGAAGAGGGACGCGCCCTTGCGGTCGAATGCCAGCTGGGCCTGGCTGCAGCTGAAGGGAGCGCCCAGCAGGTTGCTAAACTTGTAATTAAACATTTTCGAGCCTTAAGCCCTGAATCGAAAGCCCTTAGCCCTAAACCGTCATTCGGAGCAGTGGGGAGGGAGGAGCGCGCTAGAGAAGGAGGTGAAGCTTTAGCACTGTTTCTTTTAGCCTAGGCCAGTGTAAACAAACAAAGCGAAACTGAATTGTAATTTCAGCGGAAGAGAAAGGAAAACAACTAACCATAGGCGTGTGGGGAATCGATGAGGCCTTCCGCTGCACTGGGCAGGCGTGGGGTGTTCAAACACCTGAACCTTCTGGCCAGGAAATTCAAATCCATGAAGTGCCCGTAATTCGGGTGATAGAAGATAGGCAAAAATATATAGATCGTAGTCCAGATAACTCGAACCTGATGGGACGGGGCTGCATGCAGCGTGTCACAGATATTGAAATGCAGAACATTAGTTTAAAACCCATTCAAATCAAGTGACACAGTTAAATGCCAATTTTAAAAAAAAAATTTCAAGCATCTCCTAAGATACAGCAGAGAGATTAGCCCGAGAGAGGCCGTGGTTCGTGCCACAGCCAATTATGTAAGGTTACAAAAAAACGCGCGGCACCCCGGGCTAGCCTTCTTATCCATTGCTCTTTGATAGAACATCTCGCGTGCCCCTTAGGACTTACGAATATGAGTACAGAAGTGCACAGGCGTTTAAGTTCATGAACGACACCCTACTTCTGCCTTAAACAGGCGCAAGCATCGACAGAAATGGATGCAGCGGTAGAGCCACCAGGAGTTATACAAACGTGTTTTTCAAGCCTCGTGTGCAATTTTTATGTGAGAAAGATTTTTGAAACGCAGAAGGCAGCCTCTATTAACTAGTTGTTGATCCATTCGTCTAACTTTCGCGCTAAGGGCACCTTGAACTGTAATATTCTTCTGCTTGAGTTGCAGTGCTCCGCGAAAAAACTTTGGCGTAATTTTTGTGGCGCTGACACTGAGTTTCGACTTGATATGTAACTCTAAGTTGATGGACGAAAGCCAGGGAGAGCTGCGCCAGCTGGCCTGTGGGCCGGTGTGCCACAGGGACTTGTTACGCTCTTTGTTTAGCGTAACTTGTGGTCTCAGACGGCTTCTCTTTACATGGAATTCCCTTATCAGCGCTTTAGTGACCATAGCCAACACCCAAAACGCCTGCGAGAGCAACTGCAGGCACTAGTTACCATTTTATTATGTTGCTGTGGAAGACAGGCTGGTAGCCACTTTTGCCGAAGTGGAGAGAGGCTTACTCTGCATCACATATCTTCCCTTTTGCTGTCCTGTATTGACCTTTTGTTTTCGCTCTGTGTCTGTCAAGCTTGCTTTGATTCGCTTGATAACTTTGCGCTTCGCTCTTTCACATTCGCATCGGAATTCAGGCTTAAGGTGTATTCGATTACCTCGTTAGAGGTAGTGGTGTTGCTTCAAGTTAAGGACCATCGTAGATATCGCGGGGAGCCGTGTTAAGCAGCACATAATGTTGAAAATTGCCCGTTACTGGTCTCTTAGTCTTGTTGAGTCTTCGTCCTTTTAAGGGAGCGCCCGCACTAAACCACATTAGGCATATAAGTGACCCCACCCTCACTCCCGCTAGCCCGCAAGGAGGGATCTGTGGGTTAAAAGGCCGTTCGAATGTCAATTAAGTCCTTTTGCCAGTGGGAGGCACTGCTAGTCGGAAACAGCAGTATTCTCAGTTTCACCAACAGCATGGTGTTTGCGGACTCCGACGGATTCCAGAGGTGGGGCTCAGATGCCTACCTCTTCCCTGGTCTACGAGAAGCAGCTGGGGGCTACTTACGTTCCACTACATGAAGAGCAACTAGTGGCTCAGTATGAATTTCCACAAAAAATTCAGGTGCAAGTTGACTTGCTAGATTTGGCCTCCTACCGCAGTGGAGTGACACCGCAGTACACCATGCGCTCCACAGAAACATGCAGCGCTCGGAGTGAACCGATAAATTATCGCATACGATATGGTCAGTAACATGCGGCTTAAGTCAGCAAATTTCTTGAAAATTAGTTTCGGTCTACCTCTGTCCTCTTCCCATACCAGAGGCTCCGGAGCGCCTCAGTTCAGGCCTCCAGCGCTCCAAAGCGGAAAGGAAAACGCCCTGCGCGAATTCGCTGCGACCTGTGCGGTGACTGCTCCGCACAGATTGCAGTCGCCGCATGCATAAAGAAGCCCCTATACACGGAAACAAAGCTACACTGCACTGTTCCACGTAGGGGCCTTGGTTGGCGTATGTGTAGTCGCAGGGCTGTGGGTCAGAGCCTGCACCATGTTAGTGCAGCCTCCCCAATACAAGGCTGCTGCAGTGTACATACACCGTGTTTTGAGGTGAGCGCCCACCTTGGTACATGAAATAAAAGCAGTCTTTTATTTCTAGGAACAGAAATTCTCCGAAGGAAAAGAACAAAAGGGCAGCAGCGTACAACTGTGAAAAAAAGCAAGTGCTGCCGTCAAAGACCTAAATCATAAACTCTAAAACGTAAAACCTGAACGCCTAACCCCAAAGCCGACGCTCCATTGAACTAAGCGTTTGGCGGTGTTGCTGGCTCCTGCTCATTCCACTTAGAGCAGAACTTGAGAAAGGCAGAAATACGCTGGTAGTACTCGTCCTGAGCAGCCACAGCCCGAAACGCTTAGCCGAAAGCCCTACAGCGAAGCTCTAACAGAAATTCCTAGGTACAAAGCTCTCGACCTTTAACTGAAAGACGCAATCTGGAAGTCGGCGTGACCCGCAATTCCAATGACTCCGCCCACACCCAAACAGCGATCACTACGGTCTCAATTCTGTACAGTCGCCTTCGGGCTTCTTGTTACGTTTCAAGGGTCTACAGTTTACGTTTTTTAGTTTTGCTGCTTACCCCTGTTCTGTGTTCAACGTCGTTGTGGTCCGCGTTAGGTATCCACCATGTCTGCACGCGGTTTTTCTGCATCTCTTTGTCTCTCTTTGGGGGTCCCTTGGGGGAACCATCTGCTTTGGAAGAAAGCAGGGGCGCTCTCAGTAAGCAGCGGTGGGGGGGACTCTCCTGCAGGTTGGCGTAGCGCGCGTCCGCCTCGCGGCAGGCTGCTTCTAGCTTCAAAGAATGAGAGAACGGCACCTGCAGCGAAAACAACTACAATTAAGACCATAAATTAGTGAATTAGAACTATGAAAGCAAAAAGTGAAGCCATTTGGGAAGGATGCTTGTGGGCAGGGTGCCGCTTGGGGCACCGTGGTCCCTTAGAGATCAGATAGCAGCAACAACGGGAAGTTACAAAAGGTGTACGTTTTGATGCCGCTGTAGCGGCAGCAGTTCAAAGTGGCATTCTTGCTTCTGTTTTTGCCGCAGATGCAGCAGCAGCAGGCTAAAACTGCAGCAATGCCTGCTGCTGCTGCTGCTGCTAGTTCTGCCGCTGGATCTGCCGCTGTTGAACTGACCTGTCTGTCTAATCGACCATGAATGAGCAGCATGGGCACGTCGTAAACCTTCTTCAGTTTCTCTGCATTTTGGAATGCGTCGAACCAAGGGGCCTTCTCGATGTTGTGAATGAAGAGACGCAGACCTATACAAAACATCAAGCCGTTAGCCCTATCTAAATTCCAGAGCCCGACGCAAAGAGTTGTACAACGGTATCCTTAAGCATAATCTTTAAGACCTAAGGTTGGGAGCATGAACCCAAAAATACGAGCCCTTAGCTATGGGTTGCGTGCGCTAAGCAGTACTCCTTAGCATAAACCTAAATCCCTAAATCCTAGACCCTCAGCTCTGAATCATACACCACAATCCTTGTGTTTACTGTTACCTGAAGCTATTGACGAGTGAAGAATAACTCCCCCCAGCCCCTTCTGCTTTCTCTTCGCCACGAAGTCGCAACACGGCCCAGAGCCAACGCTGTGCCCATACTGGTTGAACAGACACACAAAATACAACAAATGTACCGTGCATGCATTCACCGAGCAACATTACCACCCGAGAAACATACTTAAACGGTTTCGTTCACCAAAAGTGTCCTCTTCTAAAGGGCTATGTGCTCAGCAGCCCCTAATTCTCGTGTTCTTTCCGGTGCATTTAGTGCTTATGAGCTCTGCTCGGCTCAGCGCCTATGGCTAGGTTTAGGTTAAAGAGTTTACAAGAATGATATTCTTCGGCGGCACATTTAGTTCCTTAACAGCAAACGAGTAGACTGCCTTTATGTCTTTGTAGAGAGCAGCTTCAGTCGCTTTGCCGTCGCTCCACCCGTAGCCCGAGTAGTCGTAAGCCAGTACATTTACCTGGCATCTGCATGTAAAACAAGTACACACAACAAACTTTGCATAGAATTATACAGCCAAGTTCATCTTTCACTTACACACTGACCAAAGAAGCCCAGTAATCATATTCATTCAACCAACTTGTCGCTGAAATGACACACCGGCCGATGCGCTCTCCATCGCAGCACAAGACCACCGAAGCGCAAGAAACTAAAGCCTGCGCTTTAAATTTTGGGGCCTTCAGACTAGCAAATAGGCTTTGTAGCTTCCAATTATAGTTCGTGCCATGCAGTCTGCCTTTGTCAGACCTCGCCTACGGTCAGCTGTTCAAGTTTGGCGGTTTACTGCTTATGAACGCGTAGGATTAGTGAATTAGAGTCAACCGCTCGCGACGTGAGGTTTCTTGTTTACTCAGCCCGCAGCAAACCCGCTGGTGTTTTCCAAAAATACCAGCATCATCAAAATCACTGCTTCGAACCAGTGAAGTCTATGCTATAGGGTTTGGGGCTTTGGATTTACGCTCATCTCACCTGAAGCACATCCTGTAGTGCAGGCCAAACATGTGTCCTATATCGGTACTGTTACCATGTGAAAAAACGATCAAGAAACGATTCGTGAGCGCATATTCCTTTGCCTTGCTTTCTTGCGCATATTCTGGCGGCACTCCAGCAGTCGACCACAGCAGCACCGCAGCAAGCTGATGCTTCTTCCCGCGCCGGATGTGGCAGACCTGAACCCTCTCAGGCAGCCGGTTGTGTTCCAGCAGCTGCTGTATGCTCTCTTGCCCCTCGCGGGGAGGCGGCCGCTGCTGCTGCTGCTCTGCTGGAGCAGTACCACGGAACCCACGGCCTGCTGTTGCCGCATTAAACACTTCCTGGATGTACAACTGGTCCCCCTGCAATGAATAGCCAGCGGGGAAGGGGGGATAGAAAGACAAACGACGCACAACGGAGGAACGGCAGCCCCTGAACAAGCCAGTTTGAAAGAAGCAGAACAAACACACAACACTACTCAGAAAAAGAGCACCAAAGATGAACGGGAAAACACGAAAAAGAAAACACAGAACAAAGCAGGATGAAAGTGAAAGGTGGAAAATTTGCTCTACAAAGGCAGGTGCAGATGAGATGCAGCAGCAGTAGCAGCGAAAGCGAAGAAGTTGAAGCAGGAGGCGAAGCAGAGAGAGCGAGGGGATGCCACAAAGCAAACAAGGGGGAAGATGGGGGAATAATAGACAAAGGCAGCACTGCTTTGCCTTACATGATAGATATGCACCCGAAAATACACATGGTGGCGCATCGGCCTGTCGGTGACAGCGCCACCATCTCACAAAACTCCTCGTCGTCTGAGGCATCGGCGTAAGGCTCAGCAGGAGTCCTTCTTGAGTTGCCGGGGGCAACAGTCCGGGTATCGGGGGCTATATCTGGCTTTACCGACATTTTGACGGCTGGCGTGGCAGTGTAAAACACTGAGAGGCTGATTTGTGATTTTGCTGGCGCTTCTGATTCCGTCTGGTCTAAAGGCAGAAGCGCAATCCATAAGTGCAGCTAGCAAGAAGACCCTAGTCAAGACTTGGAGCGGCGTTTGCTCTGCAAAGACTTATATATGGCCGTGCGCGCAAAAGGGAGACAAACGAAAACGGGGGCGGTCTGAAAAATGAACCGCGGGGCGTACAGGCTACGAAGGGAAAGCTGCAGCTGCGACAGGAAACGCCCAGGGGGCCTCCGGTCACCCCGCAGGTAAAAACGTCGAAATATCCAGGAAAAGAAAGGGAAAAGAAAAGGCATCACAGCACTAGTCTTGTGGGAGAGTCCGCATGAGAGGAGTTCGCAATTCGGACAGAAACGGAGTAGGCACCGCTTAGCACCTTCCCGCTGCCTCAGCTCCTCCTTGCAAAACAAATGTCCAAAAACAAGTAAATCAAGTTGCAAATCGGAACATTTAAGTCGAAAAATGAGTCAGAAACTCACAAGGAAGGGGGGCCCCGTGATGCGGAAACCTGAAGCTGCTGCGCCTGCCGGCGCTCCATTAAGTCGATCAGTCAGATCAAATGGACTAATCGAAAAGAAAACGTAAAAAAAAGAACGGTAATTTTAACATATTTGTTCAGGCTGCATTTCCCCCAAAACCATGACTGCGCAAATTCGCGCATGTTTGGGGCCCCCGACTGTCGGACTGTTGTCTGTGGCTGTCTGACCATGAAACACGACAGCGATTCGTTCAGCGCTTCTTCTTTTCTCCTTCATATCTTCGCTTTGTGGTCTTTCTTTGGTTTTACCGACTTGGAAACCTGTTTCTACCCCATATTTCTTCTCGTATTATTCTAATGGCCGTTGTTTCCACGAAGAATTCAATGACAGCACATACCATGATGACCACTCTCGTTCGATTTGGACAGCAGACGCAGCGTGTTTGGCTGTATGCGCATTTATCTTCTTAGAGCCTCGTAGTATGCATCGAATGTCACCAGGAGTTCAGTCGAGGGGCGCTTCCATTATACTTCAGTTATTTCAGTCAACATCCGAAGCACGGAAGACACTCCGCTAACACATGGTGGTTATTCCACTAAACCGAGCGAACACACAAACAAAGAATACATGCACACTTGGGTAAGTACGTGATCCAAATGCCCAGTATTTGCGTTGATCATTTTCCATTGTAGAGGGCATGTGTGTGTGTGTCAGAGCATCCTCATATTGGTGAGGGGTAGGCTCGCTACTTGTGCACCTGGAACAAGTGAAACGAAAAATCAAAAACAAAAAATTAATTTTTGAAGTTCTCTAACAAGCCCCAAACACTTTTGGAACCACGCAAAGCACCCTCAGTCGTAATCATGGGCAGCAGATCCTAAGGCTTAAACACTTCGACGAAGTGCCTCTATTTTCGTTGTTTGCCTTCCGCACAGTCTTGTCTCAGCCCTTTGCATGATTTGTTCTGCTGCGATACCTTGCATTCTTTTTCGTTTGACCTTTTACTTGCTGTTCTGCTGTCAAACGCTGGCAAGGAGACACAGATATGCATTAAAACGAAGGCAGATAGAAGGAAAATGGACAGACAAAAAGAGAGCCAGAAAAAGAGACAAAAAGACGGCAAGAGGCAGGCAGAGAACTAAACCAAACCCAAGGACATGAGCGAACAGCAGAACGGGCCGCTCCTCTCTAGTTCCGTCCGTTATTTCGTTGCGTACAGAGAAGCGCTGCAAGGATGTTCGATGCGGCGGCAATGCGTGGAAGCAAAACAGATATGGGATAAAGGGATAAAAAATGAAAAAGTTTAAAACAAAAGGACAGGACGGAAGGACACCGAGAAGATAAAATAGCGGTAAACAAGCCAGGAAACCAGCAAGCCTCCTTTTAAGGGAGACCCGCGAACTGTCTGTACACATCATCCAGTGCTCGGCTGTTAAGAGCAGCACAAGTAAAAGCAGCAAGCCCAGAATCGTGAGCGCTGCAAAAGCAAGCTCTGTGATCGCAAAGCCTCAGAGCCGCAGAAGCAGCAACAGCTGCTCCTGCAGCTGCTGCAGCTGCTGCTACGAGTATTTCTACTTTTGGCAGTTGAGCGCCTCGTATATACACGTACACGCAGTAGTTGGTGCTTCTACGAGTTCAGTCAAAGCGCCGGTTGTCTCGCGGTGTTTGTAGCGCCACTACGCCCAAGAGGCCCACCAAACCCTCGTACCAATTTGGCATGCTCTCGACAGAAGCATTTTGTTGTTCCTGCTGTTGCTGCGGATTCTGTGAGTTGTGCTTGTCCTGTTGGCGCTGAGGGCGGTGCTGCTCCTGAAGCTGCTGGTGGTGGTGGTGGTGATGACGGTGCTGCTGGTGGTGATGGTGCTGATTATGGTGTTGCTGCTGCTGCTGCGTCAGCTTCTTGTCCGCTACACCTGGATTGCTACTTGTTTTCTGTTGTTGCAGCCGAGTGTTCTCCACAGCTGACTCATTAGACCCTCCAGGCTCTGCAATTGAGACCCGTTGTTGTGGCGGATGTCCTTGTTGTTCAACAGGGCCGTTGTTGCTGCTGTTGCTGTTGCTGTGGTGCTGCTGCTGCTGCTGTATCGTTTGTAGCCTGGTTGTACACAGGCTAACAGGCTCAGCTCTTCCAGCAGCAGGTGCTGTTGCTGGCGGAGAGGGGCCCCTGCTGCTGCTATGCGCCGCTGCAGCAGAACCCCGAAGGACAGCAGCTCCAGAAACTGGCGTACGCCCAGTCTGCTGCTTCTGCTGCTGCTGTACATACAAACTCTTGGAAGCAGCAGTCACTGAGGGCTTCGCTGCTGCAGCAACAGCCCCTGCCTTAGCGAATGCTCTATGCTGTTCGTTCAACAGCACAAAGGCTGAAGAGTCAGCAGTGGACCCGTTGGAATCTGCGGCTATATTTGCTGATGCTGTTGCTGCAGCATCTGCTTCTGCTGAAGCTTCAGAAATATTGTGTTTCGTCTCCTTCACGTTTTTCCCCTCCTTACGCTGTTCGTGCGGCTCTTGCTGCTGTTGCGCCGCTGCTGCTTCCCCAGACCTGCGGTGTCGCCTAGGTGTTCTGGGTGTACGAGCAGCAGCAACAAACCTTGCTGCACCTTTGAAAAATGAATCTTCTCTTTCTACTTGAGACACGTGAAGAGCAGGAATTGGGAGTCGGGGCACAGCAACCCCGTCGTAAACACCTTGATGCCGTTGTGAGTCAGCAGTAGCAGCAATAGCAGCAGAGGGAGGCGTGACAAATCGCTGCAGCAGTTCCTTTTGCACATTGTGAAAGGTCCCTTGATTGTAAGTTTCCTTGCCGCAGGCTACAGAAGCTGCTGCAGTGCGAGGGCTCAGTAGCAGCGGCTCTTCATCTGCTCCAGCACGACACTCTGCCAGGGCAACGACAGCTGCTGCTGCCTGCTCAGCTGCTTGGTCTGCCCTGGTTTTCTCTGCTTTTGCTGCAGTTGCTGCGGCTGCCGCCTGCTGTGCCTTCTCCTCTGCTTTTGCTTTCCGTGCTGCTGCTGCTGCTGCTGCTGCCGCTTGCTGGGCCGCTCTCTGCAGTGCTGCAGCTTCCGCTTCAGCAGCCTGCGCTGCTGCAGCAGCAGCAGCAGTTGCCGCAGCCTCTGCCTGTTTCTGTTCCTTTGCCGCCCTTGCCACCTTTTCTGCTGCTTCCGCTGCAGCAGCAGCTGCAGCCTCTGCAGCATCGAGCACTGACCGCAGCAGCAGCTTTTCCTGTTGCTGCTGCTGAGGGGTTCTCAGGCTGCGGGCGTACGCTATCCAGGGGTGAGCCAAGGCCTCTGCTGCCGTCTGAAACCTGTGTCTGCTGCTGCTGCTGAGGAGCTTACGCATAAAGTTTTCGCACAGAAGAGAGTACTGCTGCTTTAGGCGGGGATAGCGGACATCTTGGGATAGCTGCTGACACAGACGGCCGCTGCTCATTATCCCTTGGCTGCATAGAGAAAATTAAACAGAAAGACTTATTTCTCTGCATCTACATTTCGCTGCGTAGTCGTTTGGGTGAGGTAGTGTTTGTGCATTCGCTACGATACGCATTTGAGTGGTTTATTGACTATCTATTCTCTAAAATGATGCAAGCACTTGGGCACACGTTTCTCCGTGTTTAGTGGTCTATGAAAAAAGTAGATGGTTTAATGCACAATGAATGAGCAGCCTCTCCACGCATTCCCATTTCACAAAAACTGGGATTCGTATTACTAATCCTTAGTGAACAAACTAGAGGCAACCAGACCGTTCGCTGCTTACTATCTAATTTCTGGTGCGACGTTTGGTGTAAAATGACTAAATAAGCAGACGAGTGAAATATAAAGCAGTGAGCAAGTATCCACTCTACTTATTCTTACCTTTTAAGGTTGACTCTTTCATGCGGGAAGCAACCCTCCATTAGCAAGTAGCATATACACCCCACTGCATGCAGGTCAGCGAACGTCGATAGTTTTCTCTCCTTCACAACTTCAGCCGGCAGGTACTGAGGGGTGCAGCAGAGACCCTCGAGAGCACCCCCTTCCCCGCTTAGTAGAGAAGCAAGAGAGCTGGTGCAGGCTGCTGCTGCGGCGGCTGCGGCTGCTGCGTTTGCTGCTGAAGCTGGATCCTTTGCCCTCGCAGTGGGCAGCAAAAGGTTCCTTTTCCCTCCAGTTCCAGATCCACCTTGCTGCTGCTGCTGTGCAGCAGCAGTAGCAATAGAGTAAGCCTGTGCTGCTCGTGCTGCTGCACATGGTAGTGGCGTCAGCCCATCCAAATCCACTAAAGTCAGAGTTGCCGGATGGGGTGCAGCAGACCTAAACATGATATTTTCAAGCTTTATGTCTCCGTGAATAAACTGTAAAAGAGACACAGGCAATTCGCGCAACGCTGTAAAGTGGTTGAAGCAGCAGCAGTGGCACATAGGGCAGCGGAGGCAGAAACACAGACAGTAGCTGCAGCGCCAGCTGCACCTGCTGCTGCTGTAAGTGCACGAACAGCGGCAGCAAGGGCGTGTCTCTGCACTTTTTGTTTGATATTTTTTGCCGCTGCCACAGCAGCAGCAGTTACAGCAGCAAAGGCAGCAGCTTACCCCCTCTTGGTGAATACACCTTAGTCCCTTCAGAATAGGCACAATGATCTGGGAGGCCTCCCACTCTGTGGGCAGCACTTGGCTGTACTTCCGACACAAATACTCGAAGAGTGTGGGGCCCGCCAGTTTTTCCATAACCAAAAACTCGCGAGACACCCGACTGCATGCATACACCCCAAATACCTGCAGCAGGTGTAAGGAGTCGAAACTGGGGAACTGTAGAAAGCGGCAACAGCTGCAGCTGGAACCCCCTGCTACTGCTGCTGCGGCGGCAGCTGGAGGTGGGGGTGCTGCTGCTCCTGATGGGGGGTGGCAACGCTCGTGTATGGTTGCCAACAGCATTGCGAATGCGTCATTTTGTATTTGTTTCGGCGGATGAGCTGTGTGTTGACTCGAATCGGCAGCAAGCTCCGTAGCTTCTTTGCTACTCGCTGTCGTATCGGGTACTTCATCCTGCCGTTCCCCTGTCTCCTTTTCGGCTTTAAATTTCGTTGCTGCTCCGTCCTTAGCATCTCCTTTGGTTTCTGGCTTTATCTCTCTGTCTAGTTCTGCTTCGGTGCACGTTTCAGTATCTGTGTCTGTATCGTGGCCGCTGCTGCTGCTCAGCAGCTGCTGCAGCCTAATCAGCTGCAAGAATTTGAATCGATTGATGAAAAACTGCTGCTGCCTTTCTGATGAATGCCTCAGTGCCTTAACCGCCACCTGTCGAGTCCTATCAAAGAAGCAGTACTGACAACCCATCCGAGAAGAAACGCTACTGCTGCTGCTGCAGCTGCTGCTGCAGCTGCCCCTGCTGCTGCTGCTGCACCTGCTGCTCTGCCGGCTCTCCCCTTCCAACAAGTCTGTGCCCCTTACAGAGCCCCTGGGGATTTCAAGGTGGCGGTGGGGCCTTGGGGCCCCAGGGACTCTGGTGAAGCAGGGTCCCCCGAGGGCCCCTCCCGGGGAGTACCGGCAGGTGCTTCTGTCTACCGAGCCAGCATAGACCGCGCCGTAGCTCCCTTCACCTAACAGTGTGCTGAAATCTACGTACGTCCAGGCCCCACATAATAAGGGTATGTGCAGCAGCCGCTGCTGTGTTGCTGTTGCCTCGGCTATGCAGGTGACCTCACGAGGCCGCTGCTGCGGCTGCTCCCCGGGTTCAATACCCACTAAGACAGATTCTGCTAGGCCCATTATCTTGAAGTGAGTGCCGTGGAAGACAGACCAACCATCGGGAGCCAAGATCTATACCAGGTACCGTTTGCCTTCCTTTTTCTCGATTTGTTCGTGTCGTGACAAACAGTAGACGCCACGGGAGGGGAGGAAGGGGTAGCGAAGAACAGAAGCAGAGACAGATTCAAATCAAACTCCACAACCAGCACGCTATATCTGGTTTACGAAAAAGACTACAAACTGCCACCAGCCAGCAAGCAATGGGGGGAAGGAGCACACGAAGTGCGAGGAGCAGCTCGCGAAGTTGTGGGGGAATGGGCTAATATCAAGTAGTCCACGGATTTGAAGACAAAGGAGTTCCTTTTAGGAGTGAAGAAGAAATGTTTAATGATCAAATGACAAATTGCAGCCGCTCGCCGAGGCGGTCGAAATTCGAGTGGTCAACGCGCACCCGAAGCCCGTGCCGTACAAATTGGGCTTCAATGACCTCCTACGTTTAAAAATAAACAAAAACAATAAATGGTAATAATTTGACAAGAGGTTCAGGACGAAGAAAAGTGAATGTGAGCCACGAGGGCGCAGCACCACCGGCCACTGACCGACCGGTTACGCCATTCAGACAGTGCCAGGGCTGTGAAATATGTTTAACTGAACTTCGCAGACATAAAAGTGAAGATGAAAAATAAGTTTATAAGCCTCGTTTAAACGAGCTGCAGTGTCAGAGGCAATATAAAAGGGTAGATGCGTTGTACTACCTTAGGCGTTTTGACGCCGCCGTCGGCAGTGAGGGCTGCGACTGAGCCATGAACAGACGAAGTGAGCTCCCCGTGAACGCAGTTGACATGAACAATAAAGAACCTTAGCTCTTCAGTAAAAATTGATTCAATGCTTAGATTGTACTATACCAAAACGCGTCAAGTGTGTTTTTTCCATTGCTTCACTGAATAGGCCAATGGACTGGTGCGAGTTACGCGTATATGTAACACATCCTCATGATCTTCGTACATGATCTAGGAGGAGTCCACGATTACAGTTTCAAAATTTAGGTTTTAGATCTACGAAACTGTTGTCTTTAGTGCCCCATTTGTTCTGTTGAGCGCTTCTGTGAATTCCTCCTCTAGACGCCGAACCAAAGGAGATTGCTTCGTTTGCCGAATGGCCCGGGATGGGCAATTCAAAAGCCGATGGAAATTCACCATACTTCACTGCTTATAATAAGCTCGCACACGCGGTGAACTGTTCAGGACAACTTAAAGGGATGCAGCTACAGGGTTCCAGAGTTCAACAGAACGTGGGGCAGGTTCTAGTGGGCCAACCTGCATAGCTTTTGCATATTGGCAACTTTGTCTGTAAACTTCCAACATAACTGTATTTACGTTGTATGCAGTTTGTTACAATAAAGGTACCCTTGACTTCGTCTCCTCAACAGCAAAGCTCTGGTGTTCTCTCCAGCACGGAAAGAAAGCGACAAAAAGTAGCGTACACACTACCATGTCCGCGTAACTTCGTGTCACTCTGCAAAAGTATCTTGCCTCCATGTTTCCTATCACGTAAATGGTACACGGAGAGGAAAGAAAGGTGAACGTAAACGACGCGTGAGAAGGGGAAAGGAACAGCTTGTTACTTATTTTTCTGTCTCCGTCCCTGTCCTGGTTTCACCGGGCTTCTTGTTCATCTTACAACTGCTCATGTTGCCACTGCATCAACTGAAGATTATTTGTTTGCCTGTTGAAGGCTATATCCGTTATCTCCAGCGCTTACCGCCACTTGTTCTATGCGCACAAGTAAAGCTACATTTTAGTAGTTTACACTTCCACCTCGTGAGCACTCTCCTATTTTTTGAAGACAAGTTTATTTGTTGGCGCGAAAAGCTCTCCATTTTGCGCTGCATTTTCGTGACAGCAGCTGCAGCAGCGGCAGAGGCTGAAAGCCTCCTGTGGCGTTTCTGCTGCTTGTGCAATTTCTCACGGCTAGAATAAAGCAGCAAAGAGAGGCAGAAATAAGACAAGCAACAACAAACAATATAAACATAAAGGCAATAGGAAACATCGATAACATCTCATTGGCGAGCTGCCGCATTTGAAGCAGATCGCGAAATGAGGAAGTGTTTCCCGTCGCCGCGACGATTGTCTGAAAACAAGCGCAAAACCTTGACCCAAACCCTTAGCCCTAAATCCTAGAAGCTTATCCACACAAATCTAAATTCTCTTTAAAATAAAGTCTTTAAAATGTAAGCCCCAAACGTCTCTGTTGAAAATCATGAACCAGCCCTCTCCACACACCGATGCCCCTGTTCCCCAGTCGCCAGCTCATATCTAAAAATAAAAATATGGCGAAAAATTGTATCTCACCAATGGGGAGGAACCACAGGAGGGGGTTGTACCCGAATACCTCGTTGAAATTTCGCCAGAATCCCAGGTTCCAGATATCCTGCGCAAAAAATTGAAACAAGAACAGTAAAGCATGAAAGCCAGATGTATGTACACCCGAATAAAGCTTCAGTGGCAAATGAAAACAGTACGAAATCAAATTATGCAGCGGAAATGCATACAGCTGCTTTCTCTCCCTCTTAACGAGGCAGTGACTAGAGAAACATGCCTGCTTGACTAGAGAGGAAAATATATGCAAGCATGTACACTATATGTGTCTGTGCATGTGAGACAATTCTGTGGTGTACGCACAGCTGGAGGCTGTGCATCGGTCCTTCTAAGCCTCTTTTCGCAGAACTCGATTGTAGTCATCCCCTTGGCTAAGAGGTAAAGATGAAATAAGCCGAACAGGAATAGAACAGCAAAGAGAAACAAGTCCAGAATTGAGCCCAACAGCAGGGCAAACAGCTCCCCGAAGTCCGTCTGCACAGGAAGCGCAAACCGGGAAGACCACATTGACAAATTAAACGAGAAAGTGAAAGCCTGCCTGCTTGTTTGTGCGCATGCAAGAGGGTGAGTGCAGCAGCACCGCATTCTGCTCAGAAGCAGCAGTCCACAAATAAAAACAATTCCAAAACTGCGGTTCCTTCAACATTTGCGATATAGGGGAATTGATTTAGGGTGTACATCCACCTTGGGTTCTCCGACGACTCTGACGAGGGACTCGATCATCGTCCCACCCACAAACAAACAAGTGAGAGTTCCGTACAGCAGCAGCAACATGAAGTACTTGTGGTTTCCCCAGCCAACACAATTGGCCAGCCAGGGGCAGTGGTGGTCCATTCGCAAAATGCAGCAGCGGCAGACGCGGCAGTGGTGAGTCCGGTCGGGTTTGCATACACCGCACCACTTGCACACGCGCAGCCCGCCGCTGCTCTTCGTCTCCTGAGTTGTTGCAGCAAATAAATCCGCAAAAGAAATAAATTCAAAAATACATTTCAACTAATAAATAGCTAACGCCACTCGCCAGTGCAGACAACTGGCGTTGATAGGTAGCCCACAAACGCCACGGCTCATACTGGAATGGAAGCAGGATATAGAGAAAAAGAAACAGAGAAAGGCACATTCAAACAGAACAAATTGAAGGAAGTAGCAAAAGGACAAACGGAAGCAAACGCATAGACTAAGAGACAAATAAAAGGGAAACAAACGCGTTAAAGGATGTGCGCAAAACAGCAAGATTTACAGCCGTGCTTTCACTGGGGGTAGCAGCTGCGAATGGAGTTGGAATAAAACTGAGGTGTACATACACCGCAGCCCCGCCAGCGGGCTCACCGCCGCAGTGTGGGTCTCCAGGGCATCTTCATCTGTTTCATTTGGAGTTCCGGGGCGCACGAAAACGCTCAAAGCGAAGCAGAGGATGAAAACGGCGAAGAGGAAAAGAAACACAATGAATTCGGACAAGCCTCTGCCGAAGGCCTGTCTGTCTGCGCCGTGCTGCTGCAGCAGCGGGGCTATGTGGTAAGCCACGTACACCCCAACGACAACAAACACCAGAGACAAAACAAAAAGGACCGGCAAAGAACGAAGGAGGGCCCCCTTGGGGCCCCCCAGGGGAGCGGCGTAGCGCAGGGGGGCCACTTGTTCAGAGTCCTCATTTTCTTTCCTCTTCGCCCCACCTACTCGGGGGGCCCCCCGCTCCATTGGGGGCCCCCCTGAAGTCCCCGCAGCTTCAGAGACGCCAGCAGCCAACAGCGGCTGCTGGTCCCCCTCCCCCTCCATTGTGGGCAGCAGTTCTAGGGGGGAAAGCAGCGAGGGCTCAAGGAACTCCTAGCTGCCTTGAGGCGCGGCGGACAGCAGCAGCAGCAGCAGCAGCAGCAGACGCAAGCAGCTGCTGCAGGCCCGCTCAGAAAGGGACTGAGAGGTCGAGAAAAGCAGGGGGGTCCACTCCTTTTAAAATAGTCGAGATGAAGCCATTTCGCTATACGCTTGCGCGCCAAAGGCGATGGCTATGGGGAGCTGCTGGAGCAGCTGCAGCCAAGGGGCACTGGACACCAAAGGGAGGCTTGAGATACAAAAAGAGGAAAAAGGAAAGGACCTATTAGCAAGGTTGAGGCTGTTGAGAACAGGAGGAAAATTTTAAAGCTTGAAACAAATATATAACCAGAAATCATGGAGGCTGTAACTGGGGGATGAGCCGAGTGGACGAGAGAGGAAAGCAGATGTATCTTCAAGCGGCTAACCTGCCGCTATGAGTGCCTAATTTAGAACTCTATTTAATACGGGAATACCGGCATACAATTGCCGTGATGAAACATTGGCGGCCACCCCCAGTGTCGAGCCAAGCAGCACAGCGCATGCATCTGGGGAGCTGATCTATGCATGCAGCTCTATTATATTGAAAAATAATCCTTTTTAATCCAATTAAATTACTGGATGCCTGCTGATCCTACAAAAAGCCCGTCGGGGAGCGCGCAAATAACTCTTCAGGCTTCACGCCGTTGGTGCTAGCCGTTGCAGGCGGGCACAGCACGTGGGGTGTCTGTACAGGCGGGACAGTGAGGATAAAGCTGTGTACGAGATTCATTGATAAATCATCCGAAGAAAGCTTTTTGCGTTCTTGAGCTTTCAGTGTAGTCCCTGATGCTTGTGCGCCGTGGTCAAGCGAGCTGGCAGAACTCGGCACCGTGGAATGCTCCTCCACATACTCTGTGGCTCACGTAAGGCTGTTTGTTTCATGATGAAATTTTCAGTTGAGTAAAGTTTACTGCTAACCTAACCTGCTTTCTCCCCGTTGGCTATCCATACTCGAACGGCACGCAACACATGCTAGACATCAAGTGTGACATCAAATGGCCCTCAGCTGGTTCCGTTCATGTTCGCTTTTTCACTTAGTAGTCGAATATTTTGAAGTGCATAAGCCTTAAATTTTGCATTTTGAAGCGCTAGGTGCATGCATCATATGTGCATGCATCGTGGGCAATGTTCTCCGCACACAAATGCGCAGAGGACGCACACATAGAATATCTGGGCTAGAAAGAGTTTTTACTTTAAACTTGCTTTTGCATTCAAGCCAGAGTCCAGATACCCAAATATTCAATAAACTTTATCTGTGGCTGTATATTAGAGCCTGCTTTGGCGCAATTTCAGCACTCAGCATTTTAGCCGTGGGTGCGAGCCTAAAGGAGAAAAGTTAATCAAAAAGGTTAAGACGAATTCAACGCACATAGAATGAACAAAAAATCGCGTGTTTAACAAAATTTAATATATTGGGCCTGTGGGCATAAGGAGCCCGCGCTGAACAACGGGAATGTGGCAACAGCACGCGCACACAGATAGCTACTTGGCTAGCTTTCAAGTAACAGCTGGCTATCTGGCTAACTCTGTGTCGCCCTGGTGCCTCGAGAAGTGGCTACTCTGTGAAGGCCACAGGGACGGCTGAGGGAAAGCCTAATGGGCCTGTCTCTCATTCCACGTTGTCTTAATTGCAATTTAGTTGAGGGTTTCACATCAAACAGCTCACGAAAAGCAAACAGCTGTCATTTCAACTGAAGTGACATAGTGAGGTCTTGTGGGATGGACACGTTTCGGTGGCACTTGAAAACAACAGTACTAAAGGCTGCGCTGATAATGACGGTTGAGGTAACTCTGAACTTGATTTGCTTCGGTTTTCCACGCTAATGCCAGTATTGTTAACATTCCAAGATAGGAAATGCTTATCCGGTGGATCAGTCTGCGTTTCAAAAAATGAGTTGCGTGTCCCCCTTTTAAAACGAACTCTCACCAACTGCTACAGAAGTGAGAAGCTTATAGTGGTGGCAATACTTAAAGCACTAGGCAGCATCGCAGTCAATCTCATTGAAGGTTACCGCCATCATCATTTGCAGCCATCCTGCTTATCCTCTGGATTGATTGTGTCAGGTTTGCAGCCGATAAGTTGCAAGAAGTTGCAGATTCAGGAGATAACTGCGTTTTCTCCTCCTCAAGAGCTGCATCCCGTGCACTGGAATTGTCGTTTATCGATACTACTATGATGAATATCGTAACAGCAATTGGTGCGAATGGTAGCTGATAATAACGAGAGCAGCCACAGCAAACTGCCCTCAAAACGACTGCTATCTTTTCCAATTATTTGCTATCTTATTGGCGCAAACCGAAAATAGCCAGGCAGCCGAAGCATGAGTATGCGTGGGACAGAGAGCTCAAATGATCTGAATACTGAAGCACGCAAATACTACCAATAAAGCAAACGATTTGAACAAATGAATGAGTTACTGGACAGCTACATTGCGAGAGTGAGATGAAGCCCGAAGGCTAGCTAACAATTCAAGAAAAGAAGAAAGCATGTTTCTAATGAATTAACAAAGCCTTTTTCCCCGTTCTTTCAGTTTTTAGCGTTCCTAAAATGTTTATAAATAGTACTCTCTTGTTGCTGCCAGAGCGAGAACCAAGCTAGCCACTGCGAAACAAGCCCTTGAAGCAAAAGCCTCAGCCCTCAACAAAATAAAGGCGAGAACGCTTGGCAGCTGCGCGGCCAGGCACATGCCAAAAGCCGCAGCCGCAGCAACAGCACGAGCTCAAGTATGCTCAAGAGACGCGAGTACAAATACATTTCATCAAATGCAGTCAGGACAGAAACATCTGAAGGCGTAGACGCTACTGACAGCCAAGCCTCTACCTAACTTCATTTGCAATGAAATAAATGTACAAAAGCAGAACGAAGAATCAGCAAACCCTAAACGAAAATATGTATCAAAACATGAAAAGAGCAAACACAAGGACAAATGAGCCATTCACCACCCGTCAGCGCCAGAACGACAGTAAAAAAACATCTCAAACCCCCGCAAACACGAAAAAAGCAACAAGTGCAAAACGTGCATGAGATGCATGTCCAAGAGCCCTCAAAATCAGCTGAAACGTCGTACAGGATCGGTATCAACTGCAAGTTTTAGCCCCAGACCCTACAAACACCGTCGAGGAAACATCGAACTGACACAACCACGGGTGTTCAGCTTGCACTGGCAGGCCGTTTTGCCTTTTACCTGAGACGAGCGCAAGCGAGATAAGTAGCAGGAATGGACTAGCTGACTAAGTGCATATGCAAATAAAGGGAACAAATATACTTCTTTTTATCACATACAATTTGACTGTACGTTTTTCATCGATGCCTTTGTGTACGCCGATGCAAATAACTAATATCTGCCTTTGTTTCCGATTCCTCCATTTGCCGCACGCAGACTAAAAGTGACAGCAGTAACACTAGACCTCATTCATTGTTATCTGGTTATTTTTGTTCCATGACCCCTACTAATTTGTCCTATAGTGCACATGTTTCGCATCCCTTGCCTGGAAAAAAAGCACAACAATACGAGAGATGCATCAACAGCTAGGTTCGCAGTACGTGCTGCACTTCAAACTAATCGTGATTAAGTACTTGACGTTCTGCGAATTCCCCCAAGTTTATGTGTGCCCACAGCGGCCATCTCTGCTCTATGCACTTACACTCCAAACCCGTACACCCAAGCCCAAAGCAACACCCAAAAAAAAATAAACGACTGCATGCACGCAGTGTCGCCGTTGCGCTGCCATGACTAACCAGACACAGGCTACAATTGCACTGCCACTGTTACAAGAATATATTAGGGTTTAGCGTTTTAGTGAAATACCATTATTTCTTAGTATACCGATCGTACAGGTTCACGGATTATTACTCTGCATCTGAATATACGTGAGAAATAAACACACCTATGTCAACACCAGTTTATTCATCTTCAGCTTCCGAGCCGCAAAGCCTGTGGCAGATCCTGTCCAAGCAATGTTGCTGCAGCAGCCGCATGAAGTGAATCACTTGTCGCAATAATGAAACGGCAATTAGAACAATATTTACCAGTGCTGAGGCACAGTTACTCTCGGAAACAAAAAAGACGGAATCCTGGCCAGTCAAGTGTGCTGACCATACCGGAATGTTGGCCACAGCAAGCCTTTGCTTGACTAGTCTAAATACTGTTCTTATACTTGCCGTTCTACATCCTGCTGAATAAGGCACTAATTTGTCCTGCGAATTATCTAGTTGTCGTCACTTACTAGTGCTTCATAATCTGAGCGGAGAATTTCTCAACAGTAGAAGGCAGCAGCTTCGCCGACATGGTCCTCGTGATGGCTGCCGGTATCCAACCGCCTGGGTCTGATTCGTTGAATAGGGTGACTTCACTCCACACTGAGGCAAAAGAACAAGTAATATAGCAGTGCTCAGCGTTATTTGGTTAAGTGAGAAGACAAAAAATGTCTCCGACTTCTCTGCTTAGAATGGTAATGCTGTTCGTAGTCGCTGTACTCCTTAGTAAGTCAAAAGAAAATTCATTTGTTTACATGTAGGAAACGCAAGCAGAAACTCGAATACGGAATCAACTAACAACGCAGCATTAAACACTTGTCAATATATACTTTCCAAGCAGCAAACATAAAGCCAAGCAGAAGCAAGGACTCATGTCGGACAGGGGGCTTACAGCCAAAGGGCGTGCAGACAGGCTTAGCGAGATATGCGTTCACGCGAATGTCCATTCGCACTCGACCCGGCCTGTCCACAAAAGCACAAATACCGCAAATTTGGGAGTTTAAGGTATGTGGCAGCATCCAACAGGGCCAGCCTACAGTCAGAGGCATGCATGTACACATCCGTGTGGGATGAAAAGATATGAGAGCCCTTGAAAACCTCACATAGTGACTGTGGCTCATCAGTCTTGGCATAACTTTGATCGTGAAACCAACAGAAACGCAGTCCACTCAGTGGGATTACGAAACGATGGGATGGAAACATGGTGGGATTACGAAACGATGGGATGGAAACATGGTAACAATACTGAGACAAGCAAAGGTGCTTAAAAGCGTGGGGACGTACGCCTCCGGCACATCAGGATGGTCTATAGAGCAGCTCATGGACGCATAAGCTGTTGCCTCTGCCTCTGCCTCTGTTCCTTGTCCGTTGCTGCTGGTGGTGCTGAGAGCTCCGTCAGCTTCTGGCAGCCCCTCTGTTGATCCTGCTACTTTCGGGTTGGTTCTGAATCTGCATTTGACTCGAAGTGTACAGACGTCGCGAGGGTACACCGTAGCGACACGCCGGAAGGCCACATAACATATGTCATGGCCTGCGTCCAGCTGCTCCACCACATGCTGCTCCGTCACGTTTTTGTCCCACAGAGACCGCAGATCGGAGTTGCTCGCGAAACTTGCGTACAAACGAGGTGAAACGGGCAGGAGAAATGTTGCTAAGTGCACACACACAAGCAAGCCAGAGAAGCAGCATTCTGAAGCTGATGCACAACCTGCAGCAGCTGCTGCCTCTCCCCCCCTGAGGCCTCTGCGCTGAGTCGGCTTTGGGCAGTTCACAAAGCCAAAATTCTCGTGCTAAGTCCACAGCAAAGGCACCGAATGCAGCAGCAGCAGCAGCAGCAACAGCAGCGCCCAGAGTGTCCACGCACCTCTGCACGCCAAGTTTCCCACCCCAGATTCTCCCTTCCAAACTTGAATTCCGTCGTGGGAATGAACACAAGGCATGTTAAGCCCCTCGGAACCCAACATGGAGCGCACAGAGGCGTTGATAAGGACAGAAGAGAGCGACTGCACCTCCTGGCGTCGGTCCCAAGTGCTGCTGCTGCTGCTGTCTGTTGTTGCTGCTGCTGCTTGTCGCTGAAGTTTGTTGAAGCGCATGCGCTGCTGCTCAAGTTTCTCAAAAAGGCGGCTCATGTCGTCCGCCGCCATCTCCTCGAGCGACACCAGCGGCCACATGCTCACCTGAGGCCCGATTGGAAGGGAAGCAGCAGCAGAAAGCGACGGCGAAGCAGCAGCAGAGGCTGCAGCAGAGGCGGAAACCGAGGGAGCTGCGGCTGCAGCTGCCGCATCTGCTGCAGCAAATCCTGAGGACGGGGCCTCGCCCTGCGCCTCCAAGTGGCTTCCGCCGAAGGGCTTCGGCCCCGCTGCTGCTGCTGGAGCAGCAGGAAGCACACAAGCAGCAGAGTCCGCGAGATCGCTGTTGGGTGAAGCTGTGGCTGTTGCTGCTTCCTGAGTGGCCGTCCTGGCCCCGTCTTCTGCTGCCTCCAGCCCCTCCAGCCCCCGCCTGGGGACCGCTTGGGGGCAGAGCATTTGCATGCAAGCGCATGCATCTGTGGGGCTGGCGTACTGGCTGGGTTTGTCTGCGTCTTCGGAGCCGGCTTTGTCCTCGACCTCGCCCGTGGCCCGCACCTCTTCCGCGGGGTGTACGTACACCCCAGCGCCCGCCTCCTCCAGCGCCCCGTGGCCCTGCCAGTGCTTGCCGCCACTATTCAAGTTCTGCGCAGAACTGGGCTCTTGGTGGTGCCTCCTGCGCCGCCGGAGCCGCAGCCGGTGGCGGCGGCTCGCCCGCGGAACTGCAACACTGACTTGGGCCTGCGCAGACTGCCGCCAGTCCACCACGCACCTGTCTTCTTTGATGTACATACACCGCAGGCGGCGCGCGAGGAAGCGGATCCAGCGGGGCTGCCGCTGCGGCACCACCAGGGGCTGGTCGTCGTCAGCAGCAGCAGCAGCAGCAGCAGCAGCAGCAGCGGGAAACGCAGCAGCATCTTCCCCGGTGGGGGGGCCCTGGCGAGGCCTCTGGCCGCCGGGGTTCTTCCGGCCCCTCATGTAGGCGAGCGAAAGAAAACGGCTTTCGGCTGCTGCTCCTAGCTCGCGTGCAGCTGCTGCTGCTGCTGCTGCTGCTGCTGTTGCTGGCAGCAGACTGCCAGCGAGGGGGAAGCCCGGGCTGCTGCGCGGTTTGCTGTCGAGAGAATAGACCCGCCACCTCGACCTACATGTTCTGCTTGCAGCAAGCCAAAGAAGTCGCGGCAAAAAAGGCAATTAGCTGCACCCAGGCCACTCATAGGAGCCGCAGGGGGTTCAGCAGCAGCGGCTGCTGCAGCCGCAAGTTGCGCGCTGCTGCTGCTTGGCGGCGAGCTATTTGCTGCAGCGCGTGCCTCTTAGTGGCAGCAGATTAGAGGAAGGAGGCCGGCAAAGCGGCAAGAGTCAGTGCGTGCTTCACAGGAGAAGAGCCAACTACGGAGCCCAGCAGCGAAGTGGGGCCAAGGCCTCCCGTGCTGCGCTGCTGTGCTGCTGCGCTGCTGCGCTGCTGCGCTGCTGTGCAGCAGCAACTAGCGCGTCACTGCGTATGTGTGCAGACTCACTGCAGGCGGGGTGAAGCCCCTGCGGGTCTGCGGCGCGCTGCCCGGCCGCGGGGAAGCAAAGATAACTCGAAGCCAGTCGAAGTGGCTGGCCGGCAGATGCAGCAGGCACTAGAAGTGGGGAAGCTGCGCTGCTTGGCACTGCCTTGCTGCTGCTCGCTGGGAGAGCGAAGGCGGGGGAAGAAGCGGGCCGTCTCCTGGCGCAGTGCGGGTCCTCTACGGGAAGGCAGGCGAGCCAGGCACTACTATCTGGAACCTCTGTAGTGAGCGCAAGACAGATTTGAAGGAGATGCAGGCGGCAGGCAGGGGGCGGAAAGCAAGCGAAGTGAATCGCGGCTGTCAGGGCGAACAGGCACGGCCTGGAGACCAAGGGGAGGTACCCAGAGCCCGTGAAACACGGGGACGGTGGTGCAGTGAAGTGGAAAAATAAACTGAGGCAGCTCACTTACAAGAAGAAGGAAAGATGTTAAACTACATTTCAAAGATAAGAGCAAGCTTTAAATTACGCGTGCCGGTCGGCAGCACACCTGCCGCTGCCCTGGGGCTGTGTGGCGCATGTATGCGTCCGTACGTGAAGCGATTCTCGCCTATCAAATCAAGAAAAAAGTGTATACAAAAAGATAATAATTAATGATGGCCCTAAGCAACGAAGTATTTGAGTCAGGCCCTGCGTTAAGCTAACGAGCACAGGAGCGAGGCACACAGGAAGGGATGAACACAAGCGCATGCGCGGGTCGACATCGCCGCTTGGAACTGGTCAATAATGAGAAAAAAGTTCCGTTTGTGAATCTCATAATTAATAATTCAAATTATAAAGACTAAAATGAACGAAGTTTGCTGGGATTTGCCCCGGTGCTGAAGTGTACGGGCACCACTGTCTGCAGGGCGTCAATCTGCTGCCACCTGCTCTTGATGCAGCCCCACCTGGAATGCATTCAAGGATCTGCTTGAATCATCTTTTAAGAATCTGCTCTTCTTCTTTCTGTTTGCTTCTAAGGCTTCCTCTCTGTTTCCTTTTTAGCGTCAGGAACGCACTCTGTGGGGTGGAGCCTCTGCTCCTACCTAGTCCAAGCGAGGCAGCAGGCACGGCAGAGGAGGCCTTCGCCCCGTTTCTTTCTTTAGAGTCTCTAATACTCTCTTTTTGATTCCGAAGCATCATCTCCGATTTACGTGCAATACAAGGAGCTGCATCATTGACAGCGTCTCTCTGTGTCACGATCCTGGCGTTGCACCGCCGTCAGGTTTATTCTGTCCACTGTCTTCGAGCCTGCCTTCCTGCCAAACCGAAGCAAAGACCTCGACAGTTGCGTGCCTCTTAGCGACGAGAAACACTTGAAGTGGAGCTTCACCGCAGCCTCACTGAGGGAATCTGGGAGATCTTTGTTGCGAGGGTTCAGCGTTGACTGCACTGCAGGGTCTGCACTGGCTCGGTGCTTTGATGACTGGTGAAGTATGCCGAGGCTGCATGCACGCCACTCATAGGCGCTGTTGCACAGGGGAGCGGCGGGGCCACTTCCGGCAGAGTCGCCATTGACGGCAGCAGCAGCAGCAGCAGAAGATGGGCAACGCACAGAAGGCGCAGCATGCACTTGGGGTCTTTTGCTTGCTGCTGTCAGCTGCCCAGTTCGCTCTCACGGAGGCACAGGGGGCAGCCACTGCGGCCCACGCGCAGTCTCGCGAGAACCAGTGGACCACTGCTGCTGCAGGGTGGCCCGATGGCTCCAGGCCGGGGTTCGACTCCCCTGCTGCTGCTGCTGCTGCTGGCCACCAGGGAAGCGACGCAGCCACTTCTGCTCAAAGCGGCAGCTACAAGAATTCTTTCGGGGGCAGTCTGCCCCTGCCTGGGCATTCAGCGCCGCACCTGGCAGCAAACAGAAGGCCCCCAAGGGGAGAATCAAACGGGGCCGATGCTGTGTGCTCCACAGGCAAGCGAACTGCAGCAGCAGCAGCAGCAGCAGCAGCAGTTGTGCGTAGTTCTTTTGAACTTGAATTTGCGCCTTGTGCCTCCCACATAGGCGATTCAAAAGCCGCTCTTTCTCTCCAGCAGCAGCTGCATGCACGAAGCCCTCGCTGCGAGCTGTTGCTGGGTTTTATTTTAGAGTAAAGGAGCAGCAAAAGAGAGAATTGGCGGAGTCTGTGGGTGCTGCGTGGGGCTTGCTGCTGCAGGGCTGCGGCTGGCGTTTGACTGCGCGCTGCGGCGCGTAGTGGCCTTCGGCGTGCGGGACCATTTGGTGGACAAGTACAAATTGCCCATGGTGCCTCTGGACGTTTGCCAGAGCGAAGTGCTGCTGGACGTGGAGCAGTGCATTCCCGTGGACTTCATGGACAAGTTTCCCTCCGACACTCTGATAGAGGTGAGGCAGCAGCAGCAGCAGCAGCAGTAGTAGCAGCAGCAGCAGTGGCCGCAGCGCGAGCAGCAGTAGTAGCAGCAGAAGCAGCAGCAGCAGCAGCAGCAGCAGCGGGGGGAGTAGCAGCAGTAGCAGCAGCAGCAGTAGCAGCAGCAGCAGCAGCAACAGCAGCAGCGGGGGCCTTGCTGCTGCGGGCACAGCGGGAAAGCCCAGAGGCGGGGCTGGGGGAGTGGCGGGCTGCGCAGGTCGTGAGGCAGAAACAGCTGCTGGTGGGCACCATGGACTTCAGCGTGTTTCCGCAGCTGGCCGCAGACCAGGGCTACACCGCGGGCTTCTACCCCGAACTGGTGCAGGCGGTGGCGCAGGAGCTGACTGTGATAGTGCTGCAGAACCCGGGGCTGCGGCGGGAGCTGGTGGGGGAGCGCGAGCTGGACATCAGCATTCTGAACCAGTCCTTCAGCAAGCGCGTGCAGGACATAAAGGCTGCAGTGGCGCAAGAGCTGCTGATTGGCACTGCATGCAGCGAAGAGGCGAACAGCCCCGCGGGCCACGGGCTGCAGCAGGTGGCCGCGGCCGGCAGGGGGCCCATAGGCCACGGCGAGGCTCTGGGGGGGGAGGGAAACTTGCCGTGGCAAGACACGCTGGTCTGCGGGGATGTCAGTGGCTCTGCTTCGACGTGTCAGTTGCACGGCTGCCTCTCCCCGTGGGGAGAAGTCCCCAAGGAGTTCCAGATCGCAGTCACCCACGTCAAGTTCAGCACCCCCATGAACTTGGTGGCGGCGGTCCACCGCGGCGAAGTCCACATGACGGATGTAGGCACCATCGCCTCCGCCTACCTTCCAGAGAAATACAACTTCCTGCCGCTCAGAGAAGTGCTGGAGCCCTCCTGCACCGTCGGCGCCTGGAAGAGCTTCTTCTTGCTGCGGGACCCAGCCAGTCGCCGCCGCCGCGGCCGGCGCCAGGCTTCCGCCGACCCTGAACAGCAAAACTTCGCCAGGAGTGCAGCGGGAACTTCTGACAAGGGAGGAGTAAACGTTTTGGGCTCGACGCTCGGCTGGTCGGGAGGGGTCAGCGGCGGCAGAGGGAGCGTGGGGAGAAACACCAGCCCTGGAAAGAGCCACCCTGGGGGCGGCGGAAGCAAGGATATTTCGAAGGATAGGCGACACCAACGGCCGGCCGGCGTGTCAGAGTCCACAAACCTAATGAACCGAATGGAAAGCTGGGAGGAACGCATGCGACGGACGCGCAGCCTTTTCTTCAAGCTGTATGGAGTGCAGACAGAAGCGGCCGCTACGGGCAACAGCCAGCACGCCTCAGCCTCCGTCAGTCCAGCTGGCGCTAACTCGATTGGCCCCAGCCGCAGCGCAGACACTGAAACTGCGTTTGAAGAGAAAACTCTTGTCAAACTTCAAGCTGTTGACCACTTTCTGTATTCGTACTTGTTCCCTCAAGAGTTCAGGATATCCAGTGTGAGAAAGTGAGTTGATATATGTTTGTCGCTTCCTACGAAGTCAACTATATTCGGAATATTTATCATTACTAAACTCGCTGCCACAAAGTTCCTCACTGTGGCCAGCAGGATTCATCACGAAATAGCCCTCCAGCTCGTTCAGTTCATTCACCACAATTGTTTGCACAATCCTTCTATTCCGTATCTTCTTGCCTGCGCATTTTGTCTTCGCTATGCAGACTAACTGACTTGTCATCCGTCTTGAGTGATGGGGAGCCAGTGGGAGCATTTGGGTATGGCCTAGCAGGGCGAGGAGGCCGGCGTCGGATATCGTTGAGCTCGATGTGGCGTTGTCACCCACAGCAGCGGCGACTTCCAGGCGTGCTGGCCTCACGATTTCGGAGGGAGCCTCTGGGCTCTCTGGTGACTACCAACTCACGGCAAAGACGATCATGCGACTACCACCCAGTTGCGAGACATGGGCTGCGCCAGGACGACGGAGTTGTGGAGTTTCCAGGACCCCTTGTGCCTTTAGCTGCCTTCTTTGCTAAAAGCAGAGACCCTACTTGCCGAGGATTGCATAAGCGAACTGCGGATACTACGGCGGAGAAGCATGCGGTGCTCAATTCCGCGGCCTTCTCCCCGTCGCCTGTGCAATGTTTCCAGGCCTTTACAATCAGTTGTTTGATCTGTATTTTATTTGCTATACTTTGACGTGTTTCGTACGTGCTGTATTGCCTTCGAGAAGACGCACAGCCCTCAGGACGCCGCTGTGTTCGTGAGGTGCCTGTTGCTCGGACGTTGACGAAGGAGATGAAACCAAGAAAATGAGAATGAGGCATCCGGAAGACCGGATAAGTCGCAGTTCTTTGACTCAATTCATCTGCGCAAGCGTTAGTGAGCGCGTGACAGATGATGATGGTGCAAATCATGGTGGCACGGCAAGCAGGCCTTTTCCTGCCTTCCGCCCATTCCGCCTGCGTCGGACCTTTGAAACTATTGGCAAGGCCCACAGGCCGCACAGTTACGCTTGTCTTCAAATAGCAAAGTGAACCTGTAGTGGAGCTGTTGCTCACCCGTTCTATCCAGCTCAGCATGCAGCGACGTCCACAGAATGCGAAGTTCCTCAGTAGCCATGAACTGCCGGTTGTAATATTGTCTCTAGGTTCTAGCAGTGCCAGAATAAACTATGCCAAATAACTAAAACAAGTTTGGTCGAGCTAATCTTTCCGGCAGCCCACGGCGGAACGATGAGGCGGTACCTTGGCCCTCCTACCGTCCAGTGGCGGAAAAGGGCTATAAAAATCACGCCGAATATGTTGATGCATAAAAGCTACATTGTATAAATGATTGTGGCGGCTCTTAAGGAGGGATGCCCTGAAGTCGCCAGGCTGCCGACAGCCTGCTGCCCTCCATACTATTCAGTATGCACCGAATTACGGGCCGAGTACAAGGATACGAACTTTTGTTCAATTTCATGAAGCTCAGGTGCGCACAATACCTGAGAAGAACCCACACGCGGCATGAGTAATCAACTGATACACAGTGGAAGACGCCCGGCCTGTGAACCCACTCTTCCCCTCGCTACAGAGCCACACTGACAGCTCACCAGACTGTGCAGTGGGCCGCCAAGATCGGCATTCAATAGCTCTTGAAGAGATCCTGCAATCGCAACACGTGCACGTTACGCACTTTCAGCAAACCTTGGCCGGAGTTCCGCATGAAACACGAATGCATGAACACAGAAGGGGCTGTTGTTCCGTTTATTCTCTACTGATGACGGTATCCTGGAGATCTGAATGCCAAGAAGATGAATTCCGACCGGAAACTATTGCTTGATCATCCGCTCCGACACGCGCCAAGCCAAAAGCGAGGATGCTGGCAACACCTTCTGCAAAGAGAGACGTCAGAAGTACCACAGGTGTCTTTCGCATGACAGTCTGAAAGCCACGACTCCAAAATAGCTTTAGAAGCCCTTTATGCTACTCAGAAGAAAGAAAACATGAAGAACAACAAAACGAGCAGCAAATTACAGGCGGCTTACCATCGCCTCGCATTTCTGCCGCCTCGAAAAGCTGCTTGATAGCTGTGTTGACAGTCATGAATCTGATGATGAGACATAATGGAAATACATAACAAGCACAGATGTGAAATTCCTAATAGCAGATGATGGAATTCCCAAAAGTCATAAACTTGCTACGGTGCGGCCTCTACGAGGTTGATGGCACCGCTGCTACGATGAAACAGTGGAGAACTCACCTGGGAGGCTCAAATATGTTGTTCCCTTTCATTAAGTTTTCAACCGTTTGCTCCTTAACTTTGATATCTGCAGAGAAAACAACGGTGGAACTTGGGCGGCCAGTTGCTAAACAAAAGGGATGAAACCGTGCAAAGTACTGACTTGCGACAGTAGTTCAACTCTTACCCAAAAGGCACAATGTATGCATGTTGTTCTCTCTATTCTTTTGAATTTTTTCATAGAAGCTAACAGGCTTCCACCCGCCGTCAAAGAAGGGAATAGAGACGGTTTCGCCGAACCGATACAACTGTGACACACATTCAACTGATGAAAATCATATGAAACTCGGAGCGACACGAACATATAGTTCAGACGCCATCTAATCCTTTATTCACTGCAAATTACCTGAAGGCCGCAGGCTGCAACAGCGCTCATGATGGACGCATTATGTATAACCTTGACCGTCACCCCATTATCTCTTGCACGCAGATACAGGTCCGAGTGTGTGGTTGCACTGAAAACATCAGATTCAGCTTGTGTCCGTCAGTTGCAAATCTATATTACGTGTTTCTAACAAAAATTAGCAGGGAGCTCAGAGTGTTGTACGTTTCAACAAACTAACCAGAAAGGATCCCCAACGACGAGGCAGGCAACACGCTTTGTCTTTGCTGCCTCTAGCATCGCCTCTGCGCTCCCTTCCACAAAATCTCTGTCAGCTAATATGATTGGTTTCTCAAAAAAGCGCTCCTGCGCAAGGAAAGCATGGTAGCCAGATATCTCACAACGCAGACGGTGTAGGATGACGCCCCCACTACGGAGACGAGTTAGTTGGGGACGAGTTGAGCTGCGGATGAACGAAGAGTTGAATCTGACCCTGAATGCATACTGTGCTGAGCTTACGAGCCTGTTGGTGTCCACGTTGAGGGTGGCAGTGTAATTCTCGAGGTAGAGAATATCCGCGGCGCGAATCGCCTCAAGGCCTCGAATGGATACGTCGCGCTCATCGTTCAGGCCGAGACCCACAAGAGTAAGCACCATACTCATATAATGTTATACCGGGTCTGATTCTCGAGAGATTACCGAACGAAAGGCGAGTAGAAGGACTAACCGCCGCTTCATGCAGTGATCGATTCTGAATTTATCAGAGAAGGAGTCATCTAAGTGGGACAGAAGCACATATTTCCATGTACTTCTTTATTTCAAAAAGGCGAATCCCCTGATATCGAGGAGCTAATCAACAACGCGCGTCTGCAGCGTTCCAGTATCGAATTTTCCAGTTCGGCGATGGGGATAACCGGAAAGCGAGGCAAAAAGGAGAACAAAGCTTCACACTCTATACCTAAGTTGTGTTTTGTGTGAGAAAATTGTATATTTGTTCGTTGCAATGGTGTTATATGCAAAGTATGCGTGTTTCCCGCTGACTTTACGGGAGTAGCAGGCCTTGCATGTCCATCATTGCATACGGAAAGCCCCTTTCATTTCTTATTACGGGCTTTTTCTAGGCCTCTGTCTATACTCATTAATTCAATGGCAAGCTGTAAGATATGAATCATATACCGTTAAGAATCTTCCTATACGCTGCGTGTCTGATGCGCCTGCGAGTCTGATGTTCCGCCTTGCGCGTCAAGAGTCCAGAGGTGGAAGCAGCGTTTTTCCAAAGCTGTACAGGCGCCTCGGGGAATTTAAAAGCACAGGGATACAAGTATTGCGCGAGCGCAGTAGTTTCTTGGGCTTCACTTCTCCAGATCAGAGTATCTGTTTCGACCACTCATGTTCATGTTGACTTCCGCGCTTGGTCACGAAGAAGAGCTAACAGGACACCAGTGAAGATGTCTACGTTCGCGGTAAGAGAAACACGCCTATTGTGCAAATTTGGAACAGCATTAGGCTAGCAGGATGCGGATCTCTCAGCGCACAAGTTGTCCCAATTTGCGTATCACGAATGCACTTGCTTTGACCTTGGTCCACTTATTTTCACGGCCTACAATGGTGCATGCGTCTGGTCTTTTCGGAAAATCAGCAGATGATTTGTCCTCAAACTGTGCATTTTGTTTCAGAGACGTAGGATCGTGCAGGATATCTCGCGCATCACTCGCGACCCGCCTCATGGAGTAAAGGCATCTCCGTTTTCCGACAACATGATGTACTGCCATGCAATCATAAATGGGTGCGGGTCTAGTGGATATGATTTGCGTTAGTATCACTTATTTGGCCAGTTTTGAGGTATTTAGACTGCACTTAATACCGGCTCCGTAGTTAAGCATTGCATCTGTGTGCCAGGCACATCAAGCATTCAGCCTTCGGAAGTGCTTCGTCGCTGATAAATGCAGACCCGAAGACACTATGCCCAATTCGTTCTGTTGCTGATAAATGCAGACCGGAAGACACTATGTGGGAGGCAGGCACCTTCCACTTGCTAATAAAGTTCACGGAGGACTACCCAACATCGCCTCCTCATGTCCGATTTCTGACACGAATGTACCACCCAAACATCTACTCGGATGGGAAGATTTGTTTGGATATTCTGCAAAATCAGTGGAGCGCCATGTACGACGTTGCTGCAGTTTTGACTTCTATTCAAAGTCTTCTTAGTGACCCCAACCCAGACTCTCCGGCAAACCCTCAGGCAGCAAAAATGCTCGTTAACAACAGGGTGGAGTACGACCGACTGGTTTTGGTACGTAGTCGAAATATACATTGTGCCTGCATAGCCTCATAATCTGTTTTGCCGTTTTTCTCCTAGGTATCAGTCGTTTCTGGCCGTGGAAGCGGTGGCGGGTAGGAAGGAACTGTATTGCATGTGCTGAATTTTCAGGAGTGTGTTGAGGATAGCTGGGCGATCCCTGTGCTTCCAGAGGGTACATTTGACGAAGAATGAGAGGAACTATTCGGGTTGTGCAGTGCCGCACCCCAGTAGTTGTAAAAAGCCAGCCAGGCGCCCTTAGTCCAAACAGATGGGCGAGTTGAGGCTGGGTGAAGCCGCAGCGGAAGCTGATCCAAAAGCTGACACACACATTCCACTGTTCCAACGGCTAGGTGGGGCGTTGCGTCGTGATGTGCTCCCCACTAGCTCATAAGGAATCCAGAGGGCGGGTTCGCAGTCTGACAAGACATATTATCTTTGCGCTGAATTCGCGCAACTGCCCCTTGCCCGCGGGCGAGTGCTGCACCTTGCCAAGTTCGAAGCGACCTGTTTTTTTTTCCCATTTTGACCGGGCTGTAGACGTCTAATTCTGCTGCTGATCAGTCAAGCCATGAAAGGGGAGTCACTGTAGCAAAAAATTTACGGCAAGCGAGGCCGGACAGGCGCGGTTCATGCAAGGTAAAAACATTTGCATTAGGAAGAAAGCAGATTTACTAGTTTGGCGTGTTTGCCGCACTGCAAAGTGGGTTCAGTAGAAGAATCTGATGAAAACCCGAGTTCGAGGTCTTTGGGGACAGCTTCTCCACAGGATTTATTTTCCGGATGGATTCACATTGTTTTAGTCGTCCTCGTGATGCGGGTTGGGCTGGTTTCCCTGTGAACACAACTTGAAGTATTCTTCAAGACGAGGTATCTGAGAGGCTCCAAGCATCACATAGTGAACATCAAGTTGCGTGGCCGGAACCTCACCCGCACGTACGGAACACCAGCTACATAGCCGGATTTGAATGCCTTGAAGCGTCACTGGGGGTTCTGCTTACAAGTTTTTCGAATTCGCAAAGCTCCTCCCCATCCATCCACATCAGTCGCCTTCCGTACCTGCGGCCCACATACCACAGAGAAACTGCATTTCATGCAAGTCCCCTCTATGAAATGTTCTTGCTCTAAGCGGTTACGGGTATGCACCTGCCCGTGACAACGTTCCAATCACCTATCAACGAAGCATAGAACAGGTTCAAGTTCTCCGTCTTGATCTCTTTTCGCGTTGAAAACGAAGCACTTTTTCCCGGACGGGAGCTGCGAACACATAAACGTTTGTCAAACTCCCATAATAAAAGCTACACTACGAACCTACGCAAACGCAACGTATCGGCAATTTACATCATGTCGACAATTAGTCACGCAGGGGAACACAACAGACAAGGCTACACACTAGTGGATCTGCAAATAGCTTCTCTGGCAATAATCGCTACGGGGAAAGCTGAAGGTGGGCACAGCCGACCTCAATGCTAGGGGACCTCGATTCGGGGTCAAACCAGTACACTCGACGGAAGACTCGCCCACAGGCATCACTTCCACCACTTTGCTCTTTGGCGGTCTTCAAAGACTTGGCTGTGGTGGGAACAGATGAAAAAAACATTGCTGGCGGAGATTTTCTGGCGCGTGTGACGACGGAACCCTCATTTCTGCCGAATAGACAGAAGAGTCGGTGCGCTACACACAAGTGGGCGGTCATGTTTCTCCAAGATATATTGCAAGCATTTCGACTTGAACCTACTTTGCGACAGAGGAAAGTGCTACACTACTACGAGGCTCTGCGAAGCATGCTACGCAGCGTATCCTTGGAGGCTATTTAAGGATATGCAGAAATTTTTCAAATTCGCAGCCAGACGCAGATTGATGAAGACCATTTGATTCGCACTAAATGATGCAAATATTTTCACTTTGAAGCGGAAATGGCAAGATTCCTTGGTCACGGAAAGGCAATGGTAGAAAAAAATAGTTGTGATCCGAAGATCTGACAGCGGGTGTTCAGGTGTACATGCAGCACACCATCTGATCCTGTCCAAACGGGTGCAGCGTTCATCATTTTATCATATTTAGTCGATTCTGTCCATATTTTTTTGGACCTTTTGCTTCCTTCCGATCGTACTTTTATACAGGAAGGCTCGAAAATGTCGGACATCGAATCTCAGAGAGTCCTCGGGGCTGGGATCCCGCGGACTGGCAGGCTGATTGATGTTGGTAAGCAAAAACCGCCTTACGAAAAAAAGTTCTTAGCTTATGAATTTTCTTTCAGCCTTTCCTAACATTTCACTGGACAAGCAAGTCTTCACTTCTGACACGTTGCGACACGGGGATTCTCATACATCACTGCGTACACAGGTCGATCGTTGTGATAACGTTGGCCCAGATCGCGGTCTACATTATGTCATGTGCGATGTCGTCGGCTTTTGAGGTAGGGAAACTTTGGCATTAATTAACAGAGACCGGCGCTAACTTCTCGCCTATAGCCTACGGAGCGCGTCTTGTACCAATTGGGTGCTACCTACGGACCTGGGATACGGTACACACATGCTACTACGTCAAATTCAGAACCAGTGCAGCAATGCGTCGACTCAGGCACCTCCAAGCATGGAGGCTTATCATGCCTGTTTTCCTTCACGTCGGCATTGTCCATTTGCTGTTCAATGTTCTCTTCATTTTGGTAAGTGTTTTCGAACATGCCCACACGCACATGAGCATGTGAATATCACATCACCTCGCAGCACATGGGACTTGACAAGGAAATAAAGTATGGGAGGACGAATTTCCTCATACTATACTTCTCCTCTGGTAAGAGTGATACACTGACATGTTGAAGTGACGTCCGAAACATCCGGCCTCCAGCTCTTATCGGGAACATGTTCACTGTCTTGATGCGCCCGTGCTCCTTGGTATGCACTTTACAGACAAGCCATACAATGAACTTCCTGAAACATGCTCCTCCAGGCTGTTGGTGCGAGTACAGCAGGGTTCGGTACGGCAGTTATTTCACCTTCTTGCCTTATAAAACCTCCACTATAACGCACTTCAGGTCTCGTGGGTTCCATCCTTGCCGAGATCTTGATTGTCTGGCACAAGCTTGACGATCGCACAAGGAACATGTACACACTCGACATGACTGTATTTGGTGCTTTGATGATTCTCCTCTCCTACGGACAAACTGGTATGACATTTTCCGTCTGTTGTTATCAAAAAATGATGCAAAATGTGAACTTTAGTCGACATCTGGGGCCATTTGGGAGGTTTCGTCTGCGGGTTCGCAGTAACGTGTGAATTCAACAAGAACATAAGGGACCTTCCTCAGTAAGCCGATCCACCGATTATCCCACTTGGAATCAAGCAATATCCATACTTTGCAGTTGGTTTGACCTGGCCAAGAATGGGACAAGGACTATTTGCATTGGTGTTGTCGCTCTTACACTTGCACGTGTATTCCTTGGCCTTCCTTTGCCCATGGTAAGACTCAAATTGGCACAGAGTGTTCTGGACTTCGTTTGGATCTACATTATTTGCAGGGATGCGCATAAAAACGGCCGCTTGTTGTGGACCCCTTGCGAGGCCACGGCAACTATAAAACCTTCGAACCTACTTTGCGCCAAAAACGAGATTAGCATGGAAAATGCCATTTCACTTGTTCGTAAAGGTTCTCTAATGTTGAATTATTATCTAGAGCAATGTCTGCTAGTGAAACTTTCTCCTTAAGAGGAAGTTGGCTCTTGATCATCGAATTTAGTAGCTCCGCAGACGATGCCCGATCTCTTGAAACAAGACGACGTAGTTGCAAGTCTTGCGATACGTAGACCACCGCGACTGGTCCGCACACCAGATTTAATCCTGTTTCGAATAGTAGAGGAATATCCACGAGGACGCGTCGCCTCCACAGACAGATGCGATACTTAAATATTCGCCATAAGATCGTTGCAATGATCCACGGATGTGTCAGCCGGTTTAGTAAGCGTCGTTTGGTTGGATCGTTAAACACAACATGACGCAAGAAATTTCTATCTACTTCTCCTGAACGCTTGTCAATTATGGAACTGCCGAAAGCATTCACAACGCGGTAAAACGCTGGGGATCCGCGCTTCAAGATATCCCTCGAGATCTCGTCCGCATCAATCACCTTCCATCCGTGAGACTTCAAGTAAGCTGCGACAGTACTTTTTCCAGTCCCTAAACCACCCGTTAAACCCGGAACAAGGAAACGATAGCCAAGAACAGTGAAAAAACTACCCAAGAAGAATTGTACTGCAGAATTCGAGTACAGAAAAGCTTGAAAGGTCGCCAGCAAGCATATGTATGCAATTTTGTATTCTTTGCGCGAATTTTTCATGGAGAAAAACTTCGCAAGCACAAATCCTATAATGCCGTTGACAATAAGGAGAGCAAGACCAATGGCCGACCAAACTGCCTGAGGGGCCACCATTGTTTGTACAAGAACGTCTGGTCCTTATCCTCGAGCAGTCAGTCAGAGCTCTTCCACCGTGATGGGTAACTCATGAGATAATGCGATGTACGTGGAGAATAACAAGGGAAGTAATCCAGAATGCCAAAGTTTATAGACTTAGCCACAATTTGCGCATCTGCAATAGCAGCTGCGGAACGGCTTTGGTTGACAAGCCACAACACCCTTTACGCGAATGTGCCTCGCTGGGGAGAAAAACAACTTTACCGTACATCCAAATTTGTAAAATTTGTTCCTGTTCTCAAAAAGAAAGGTCAGATTCAGTTGGACGAATCCGACAGCTGTTTGCCGAAAGAGGAGCAACTGCTGTCTGCTAGGACACAGGTGCCCCCACCTAGTACGTAGGTAAAAACTCGAGATGGATTTATTTTGTTATAAGCTCAGTATATAGCTGCGCCATTAGCGGCGATGAAGCGTGGGGCTGCTTGAGGCGTCTTTGCTACGCTCTGCCTGGCTTCTGTTGGCACATGCGCTGAAGGAGCTTTCACGCAAACCAACTCACATTCGTACGTGTCTGAATAGTTAATTCGCCTATTTAAACAATGATACAATCATTATGGGGCGCTCCTACGTCTTGATCCCGGATGGGATTGACTCGTCAGATGACGCGGCCGCTCAAGTCCAGCGTTTGCTTCAACTGTCAACACCCAAAGAGACAGACCCTGGGGGCCTCGTACGTCTCTGAACCAGTAGACTTCCATATCAAAGCCTATTCTTCTCTTGCAGCTCACGGTACTATGAGTTGATAGAAGTCCCAGGTTCAGGCTCAGTCTCCACCAGCCGACTCGTGCAACTCTGGCAGCCCGGGTGTGCGAGTGAAGAATAATGCGGGTGGCACAAAGACGTTTTCTACGTTTTCTGTGTGTCCTCGCGTGCGTAGACGTTTTGCCTTCAGGTTTCACTGCTACTTCTCCTACTGCTTATTCTGCTGATACTAGTAGCGTGGAAGACGTATGGAGGCCTGCTGCGTGACTTCTACGAAACGTACGGCGCTCCCGTAAAGTTCCACTCGTCTTCAGAGACCGGTTGAAGCTGCGGAGGGCATCTTTCACTTCTCGGGTCTCGGCATGGAAGCTGTTCTGCCCGCATGGCCACCATGGAACTCACTGTGAAGTAACTCCAGGGCCAGTGGATTTCGAGGGAAGGACAAGTCAGCGCTTGCCGCCCCGTTGTTGCTGGAAGCGCTGCGGGGGGCTCTGTGGAGGAGCTGTTGCGTGCATGGTTTTTGTGCGTATCCTGGCAGCGTGTTTGTGAAGGGAGTGGAGGATGCTGGGGAGTTGCGGCGCGGCGGCGGCTTCGACGTCGGCGAAGGGGGAAGACTGGAGGAGCAGTTGCGAATTTGAGGCGTCGGAGCGGCTGGAGCTGATGGAGAGCGGGCTGCCTCTGTGCATATTCCTGGAGTCTTCGGAGGTGGTGGCGATACGGCCGCCGGCGCCGCTGTACGTGTTCGTGCCGCGGGTGTCGTACTTGCCGACGCTGATTGACAAGTGCCACGAGCACTTCAAGCCGTACATTCAGCCGTCGTTCGGGCAGCCGACTTCGCCGTTTTTCGACTTCGGGGGCATTCCCATCGACTGGCGGCTGCCGATCGGCGTGGCCTTCGACATTCTGCGCGCGCTGAAGGGCGGCCGCGGGCAGCGGCTGGCGGCCGCGGGCGAGGCGGCGCTGGGGGAGCTGGCGGCGAGCGGGTGCGACGTGGAGCTGCCGTGGAGTCTGACAGTGCACTTCCACGGGTCCGCGGCGAGCCGCGAGCAGCGCGTGTTTGGCTGCGAGGAGTTCCTGGGGTGGGCCGGCTTCGAGAGCTTCTTCATGAACTCGCTCAAGCAAGCCACCTACATCATCAACGGCTCCGCAGTGCCTTTCCAGCGGCTGCCGAAGGCTGCGGAGATTCAGCTGCTCGCGGCGCTGCGCGCCGGCGCCGTGCCCGACTTCCTCGAGGGCTGCAGCCAGCTGCTGCCGCCCATGACGCCCCGCCACTTCCGCCGCATTCCCGTGCGTCTCTACGTCTGCGGGCCTCCCTGCTTCGAGCTTTCCCTCAGCTTTCCCTGCTTCAAGACCCCGCGGGTCAGCGGCCCCGCCGCCACGCTCGAGGACAGCGGCCCGCTCCCGCCCGCCGTCGAGGCTTCCGCCGGCCGCGCCGGCGTCCCCGCTGCAGCTGCTGCGCCGCCCGCTGCTGCTGCTGCTGCTGCTGCTGCTGCTGCTGCTGGGGGCGCGGGCGCGGGCGGGCGGCTCGCTGGCCGCGAGGGCGGCGCGGGAAGCGGCGGCCAGGCGCTCGCCACGCTGGGCGACTTGGTGCACCACGTGCTGCCGCACTTGTTTCCGAAGCTGAGCGGGCGCAGCAGCCAGCCTGGGCGGGAAGCCGCAGCAGCAGCAGCTGCTGCTGCTGCTGCAGCAGCAACAGCAGCAGCTGCTGCTGAAGACAGCCGCGGCAAAGAACAAATTAAAGTGATTGAAGAACCCGGCACGGACATCGGCCGGCGGGCGTGCGCCGTCGTCGTCCACGGCGTGCAGCCGCTGCTGCAGACGCCGCTCTTTTGGCTCGCAGCGACTGCGCCGCAGCTGGACATGTTTCTGCACGTGGTCGTTCTCGTGGACGAAGCACTCGTGGGAAATGCGTAACTGCAGCTAAGGCGAGGCAGCAGCAGCAGCAGCAGCAGCAGCTGCTGCTGCTGCTACAGCTGCTGCTGCTGCAGCTGCTGCAGCTGCTGCTGCTGCTGCTGCTACTTGCTTTCCTTGCTTGCCTTCACTTCGCCTCGCCCAAACTAAAGGCTGGCAAAGCCACCAGCCCCTCGTCGTCCGTGGGAAAGCCCAGAGCTGCGCTTTTCCGCAGTCCAATTTGAACGGCTCGGCTGGAGGGGTCCAGTGGTCTTTTTTCTTTGGTCCGCTGCAGACAAAGTTCAGAAGCAAAAACAAGAAAAGAAAACGAATTTAATTCCCCGGGAGGGGCCCCGTGGGGGCCCCAAAGGCGAACACCGTTCCACGTTCAAGTTCAGCTTGCTGCTGCTGCAGCACTGCAGCGCGAAATTCAGCAGCAGCAGAAGCCCACGCAGACAAGTGCTGCTGCCAGCAGCAGCAGTGCACGCCCGCAGCAGCAACGGGGCCCCGCAGCACCTGCAGCAAGAACGGGGCCCCACACTTGAGGGGGGCCCCACACTTGGAACAGAGGGGGCCCCCACTTGCATGCAACATGGAGAGCAGTTCGCGGAGGCCAGGGCCCCTTCGCAAGCTGCTGTGGGGGGCCCTGTGGGGACTTGGAGAAGAAAAAGGAAAAGAGAGGGGAAGTTTGGAAAAAAGAAAAGGGAAAAAAAAAAAGGGAAAAAGAAAGAAGAAGAGAAGGAAGGGAAGAGAAGTTCACCTTGACGGGCTCGGGAGCCGCGGGGGCGCAGGAGAAGCTGGGCAGGGGGATTCTGCCGGACTCCTGCTGCTGCTGCTGCTGCTGCTGCTGCTGCTGGAGGCGGTCTGGGGACTTGAAGACAGCAGCAGGCAGCGCGGAAGAATATAAAGGCCGGGGGGGGGCTGGCCAGGCGCTGCGGAGGGCCTGGGAGTCGACAGTGGCGCCGCAGCGGAGGCAAACGGCGTCGCCGGCGAGCTGCTGCTGCTGCTGCTGCTGCAGCAGCAGCGGGAAGCCGTACGCGGCAGCGGGGCCCCCGTCGCCGCTCGGAAGGAGGTCTACGTCGCAGCTGCAGGCCCGACTAAAAGCAGCAAATAGAGTGTCTAGACACGGCAGCAGCCAGTCTTGGCAGATGCTGCTGCTGCTGCTGCTGCGGCCCACAGCCACGCAGCGCCGCCGCGGCGGCTTGCCCGTGGCGGGCATAATGTACTGCGACGCAGCACACAGCGCGCATGCATGCAGGAGCCCCCAAGTCCATTTCAGCGGCTAAGTTCGCGCCAATTGCGCAAATCTCTCCGAATATTTAAATTCATTTCCACTTTTGATTCATTTTCGCCGAGATCGCGCGAAAAACGGACCCAGACTCCCCAAGTTCTGCTCCCAAGAAGCCCGCAGCAGCAAATCCAAATAGCGCAGGAGCAGCAGCAAGACAAACGAATAGCATGCATGCAGCAGCAAATGTGCAAATTAATTTAAATGCAACATTGTGTCTTGTGTAAATATTCATGTCTGTAGTGTGAACATGAAAGTGAACAGGTGCGTGTTCAGAAGTGGACTGCAGTGCGGGAACGCGGTGTACATACACCGCACGCAGCAGCAGCGCTACTCAGGTGACTTTCTTTAATTCATTTCTTTCTTTTTGTGGCCGCCTTTGGCCGCCGCAGCAGCGGCAAAGGGCCCAAAGAGTGCAGCAGCAGTTTGCTGCTGCACTGCAAATCCGTTTGAACTCGTGGCACGAATCCGAAGAGCCAACCGCATTCTTAAGCAGTCACTGCAGCACCAGCAGCAGCAGCAGCAGCAGCAGCAGCAGCAGCGGCAGCAGCGCATTCACCCTAGTCACAGACGGCTGCGGCGGCAGCCGCGGCTTCCCCTGCAAATAAGAACAAAGTTCAACTTCCTTTATCGGCAGCAGCGGCGGCAGCGAAGGCCGCGGCAGCCGGTAGCGAGTCACTGTTTGCATGCACTCGGGGACAGTGCCCACGAGCCGGTACCCTAGGGGGGCCCCCAGGGGGGCCCCCGGGGGGCCCCCCAGGGGGGCCCCCGACGGCGTGCTGCTGCTGCGCAGCTCTAGGGGGCAGCCGCT